ATGCATGCATGTGTTTATGTATGTTCGCAAGTCTGTATGTATGGATGTACGTCTGTATACATGTAAGTATGTATGTATGGATGCGTGCAGGTATGTGTGTAGATAGATATGTCACGCCCGCATGTACACACACACACATTTCTACTTAATATATACCTGTACACATTTTTATATACCACGTGCTACTGTACATGCATACGTATAGCAGGCACACATAAACATAGACACACACACACACATTCGCATTCACATACACACACACACATACAGGCACAACGCACACACACACACAGTAGTATTGCTGCTGCCAAAGGGCCTCAGAAGGGCAGCAGATGGGCCGTCTTCTGTGGCCAACAAGAAGCGCGTGACCTCTCAGCGAGAGAGGTTTCGGAAGGGAAGGAAATAGGACTTCCTCATGTTGGGGGTTTATGCAGAGATCCTACGAAGTGTTGGGTATGGGTAGGTACTAGAAATCCCCGCGCAGTCTGGAACATCCAATCTGAGGGCCGCGACGGAGTGCTGATCACTGATGTTCCACCATAGTCCGCCACTCGGTTGGGGTTGTTGCTGCATTTGTGCTCCGAGGCGTGCGGCCACGAAAATTCTGCTGTCACATGCTTACATACTGCACCTTTGTCAGGACGTGGGATGTTTCTACGGCTCAGGTGCCACAGCTTGAAGTCAGACTTCATGTCCTTTGCAGGGCCCACAAGCAAGTGATTCAGATAATTTCGATTGTATTGACCACACCTAGCCCATCATCAACTTAAAACCGAGGATACACCAAGTGAAATTGAGCTCCAATTCGTGGTCAGAGTTTCTCTTGCCCGGCATAACTGCTGCTGAGGCATCTGCTCATCCACCGCCGGTCATGTGGATTAACCGTGTTGAAAGATGTGGGGACGACGTGTTAAACTTCTAGCACAAACGGCGTGCCAACTTTGATTGGCAAACCTGGAAAGACGATTCAGACCACATAGCTCAAATATTGACATATCTTGACCTTTAAACAGCAAGTGCTTCGTTTGCCCACAGCCTTGGGGCAGAGGACGACTAGTTTGACAAACCCGGGCACTGCACCCAAATGGCCTACACAAACTGAACCGTCAAGCATTGAGAGCCCTTGGTCATGCCTCGAGCATGTCCTTGGCAACGCCCCATTCACCAGCCTGGAGGGCAGCACGGCAGATGTCCGGTTCTAGAACTTCTGGGCCCAGCCGGCATAAGATGTGGGTCAAAAAGCAGCAATTAAGAAAAAGACCTCCATAATCTCAATGATTTATGATTCAAAGCCCGATTAGAACTTTTGGTTTCAGGGATCTAATTGGATGAGCGAAGTGCTCAACGAAACCTATTGTATGGTCCTAAATTATTAGAACAGGGCTTTTGCTAGTATGGATATATATATATATATGGAGACATCACAGGACATGTCATGACTTGTTATTCCTTTTTTGACAAAGCCTGTCAGCGAAGATGACTTTGTGCAGGACCTATGAAGACAAGATAGTCACGGTTTAGGGCTCACGGTTTTGGGTTAAAGTAAAGCCCAAACCACCCTGAATGCATGTATGAGAGAAACAAGCGACCAGAATGGAAACTTTGCTAGCATTTGAAGTCGACAAGAAAGCATGCGCGCAAGCACGCACCCGCACAACACAAATATGGCAACCCGAAACTCGTAACCCTGCAACATGGCTTCGTGTCATACATGTGGAGGTCGATCGGGTTGTAGGTGACGCAAAAACTCTCTCTCAATAGGTATATTCAATATATATATATATATAAATACATACATATATATATATATGTATGTATAAAGTGCCGTTTTAACCAAACGAAAAACACTTCCTGAACAATTGTAGAACATGTTGTGTTAGTAATATGAATATATTGCTGATATTATGCTGCCGGAAAAGCTGCGGGTCTCCAAGCCGAGGCATAACTCAGAATCCTTCCTTGCAACGATCACTGCCTGCCTCATAGTTCAGGTATGCCATGTTGAAGCGACAGAAAAACCTTAGCCGGTCGGAGCTTGTGAAATCCGGACACCTCCCTGAACCCTACATCCTACAAGCGCTAAACCCTAAACCCGCCACAAGTAGCGAGGGGGACAATCTTTACTTATAGTCCCAAATGCGCTTGCACGAGGAAGTTCGTTCCAACCGGTCTGGAGCACTTGGGGTCAGGCGGGCATGAGGTTGACTTTGCGATTCAGGATCAGATGGGGTTTTAGGCATGGGCGAGGAAGGATGTGGCACATGGCACTTTTTCGAATTCAGGCTTTGGAAACCCCTATCATCATAGGTTTCTTAGGAACTGTACTGCTATCAGGACCAGATGAAACATCGACTATAAACGGATCAAGTCAGATGAGCCTTTGAAAAGCCACTGCAAGAAACACCAATGTAGGGTCGCCCGCCCCCACCCCCCATCACGATCAGCAGGATGAGACTGGACTTGCCTTTCAAGCAAACACTGACCACCGCAAAGTTCCAAAGGTCGTGCACACTGCTGTAGCTTAAGGTTTAAGGTTTAAGGGCTCTAAGATGCTAGAAGTACAGTAAAGAATCCCAAAATAGTACTGGAAACTTTTTAGCCCCCTTATTCCCCTATATTGAACTCTTAGATTTTGGGCCTAGTTGTAGCACTGGGCATAGTGAGCAGTTCTCTGAGACCCAAACATCATAAGTGAGCAAGCCCGACCCTAAACCCCTGAAAGATCCTAAACACTAAACCCTAAAGCCTTAAACCCTCAAGCCTTAAACTTTAAACCCTTGAACTCTAAACCCCTTTAGGACCCTAAAACCTTAAACCCTCTACCGTTGAACTCTAAACCCTTGAACCCTAAATACCCATAAAGACCCTTCTAAACCCCAAAGCACGCCCTCTTAGGCTCACGGCTCTGATGTAAACTTGCTGCGCATCGTGATGATGTCCGTGTCAATGCTGAACACGGAATGCATCCTCACGGAGCTGGCTTAGGGTTTAGGGTTTAGGGTTTAGGGTTTAGTGCCGAGCTGGCTTAGGCCACGGCTCATTTAGGCTGAGCTCTTTAAGTACGATTTTGTTACAAGCTTCGGCTCCCACTCCGACTCCTACGCCTACTCTGACTATCACTACGACTCCGACGACGACGACGACTCCTCTACTCAGGCTCTACTCCTCAAGCTTTCTACTCCTACCCTACTCCTACTCTTACTCCACTCCTACTCTTACTCCTACTCCTACCATTCCTACTCCGACTCCTATTCACTCCTACTATTACTCTTACTACTCCTGCTGCTGCTGCTGCTGCTGCTGCTGCTGCTGCTGCTGCTGCTGCTGCTACTACTATGCCTATGCAGCACTGAAGTGACCAACACTCGGCCTAGCTGCTGTGCAAAGCTCGCCCACGTCCAGAGCAAAGACGAAAATTCAGTGCTGCTAAGCGGCATGAACTCATCACTCCAGCGTTCTGCTTTGAGCTTCTCTCGCTCATGCCCTCAGCAGAAATCTGTGCTGCAAAGTCTCAGTCCCAGGATCAAAAGACTTAAGCTTCATAGGCGTTGAGGCTATTAGGGTTGGATGCTACAGGGTATAGCGTTCACATCCCGAAGCAGCTCCAAAGCAACCATGAGAGTTGATAAGCTTGCCACTGGTCACTAGGCTTTGCATTGGTAGCTTTCGAAGCTGGGGTAGCGCAGACACAAGCCAAACTCTCTGCAGAGGACATCAAGCTCAAAGCCAGCAGTATGCTTGGAGCCGCACGCAGCCTGAATTTGTCCTTCTTGTGGCTGTGCCCCTGGCATGCGTGCCCGTTGAGTCAGCATGGTCAAGCAACCATGAGCCTAGAAACCCTAAACCTCTGAACACCTCAAACACTAGACTCTGAGTCCAAAGCCGTCCACCTGCCAGTTTCCTGCAAGCTCGAACTTTGAACCCTAAGGTTCCAGGGTGGGGTCAATGAACCCTAGGGTTCCAGGGTGGGTCAAGCTGCCATCCTCCTCAACCTTGAGCTTTTCACAGGCCGATAAAAGCCTACCTCAAACTCCCAGAATCTGCTTTTCTTGCGGCTCTTACGATAAGTCCTAGTTTCTACAATCTACAACAAACCAGGTTTTCATGTCTGAACGTACACCCATACATACATACATACATACATACATACATACATACATACATACATACATACATATATACCTACGTACGAACATACGTACATACACAGATAAACAGATAGATAGATGGATAGGAATATAGACAGATAGATAGGCAGATAGATCATGGATAGAGAGAGAGAGAGATAGATAGATAGATAGATAGATAGATAGATAGATAGATAGATAGGTAGATAGAGAGATGGACAGATGTATAGATGGATAGATGGTTGGATAGATAGATAGGTAGATAGATAGATAGATAGATAGATAGAGAGATAGATAGACAGATAGACAGATAGGTAGATAGATAGATTGTTAGGTCGAACGATAGATAGACAGAAAGATAGACAGATGGGTGGATAGACGGGCAGACAGACAGTGACAGATAGGTAGTCAGACGCGTAAGTGCGTACATACATACATACATGCATGCATACAGTTGCTAATATGCACACATACACATGTGTGTGTGCGAGTATGTATACATGTTACACATGTTACATCTACACAGAGAATGCCACCAACTTCAAGTTGTGCACATACTCGATGCGAGTTGTGCTGGCCTCCCGTGGGTTCTCTCGGGGGTGCGTGTCCCGAGACAAAGTTCCTGCGTCTGCGGTGATGGGTTAGCGAAAAAGCATGTGATGATGATGACAATGATGAACTGCTGTTACTATTGCTATTACTGCCATTTTGCATCCTGCTACTCACATTATGATCACGGTAACATGCTTCACCTATTATTGTTGTTGTTGTCAGGAGCGACATGCATGATCTTTCCTTATGTAGACAAGAAGTTGTATGTGCAGAATGATCACCACAGTTGTACGACTGAGCACCATGGCTTCAAAAGAGGACTGGCGATAACAACTCTGAATGAACGGCTTTCATGATGGTAAGAGAGGTAGGTTCAGACTTACTGAAGACTTGTACTTTGTTCTTCTCATTTCTCGTTCCTCCAAGTTACTCTTATTGCTGCAATGTAGCCGGACTGAACAAAGCCAACACCTGACAGCCCACGAAGAGCAACGCCGAAACCGCACCCAAGTATACCCAAGTCTCACCACCTTGTGCACCTGGAACCCCTCAAGCCTAGCCAGCAGGCTCAAAACCCGAAACACCAAACCCGAAAACCAAGAGTCCAATAACCAACCACATAAACCGAGTGGAACCAAAAACCCCGAACGCTCAACCCTATTGGGGCCCCAAGCCCTACACCCTGCCCTTAACCGAACCCTAAACTCTAACCCTCAAGCCACAATCTCCAACTTTCAAGCTTAGGCAACATGTCTTGGCTTGTGAAAGAGAGTGCTCCTTGCACGGGAGCTGGAGGGGCGACATGCTCCACCTCGCTTCAGGGTGTAGGGTTAAGGATTGTGCTTCTAAGGGGGGGGGGGGGCCATCCACAAACTGAGCTGCGAGGGCTTGTCAGTTACAGCAAGGCTTAGCAACAACCCTAAATAGTAGGATCCTTACTATAAGGACCCCAAAATCCAGTGCCCCTTATCTTTAGAAACTCCCACTTGGAGTCTAGGAACCCGGCTTGGGGATGTCAAGCCCTTGTGGTGCTAACATAAGAGCCTGAAAATTTCAACGACGCACAGTAGAGTACTGCCTATAGTCTCCATTGTAGCTCCTTTTTAGGGGTTACCTTTTTAGGACCCTGAACATAAAGCTGGTTAAACCCAAAAAAGGAACTACAACGGAGACTATAGGTATCAGTTGAATATCATAGCACTGTTTAGGGGTTAGGGTTTACGGTTTGAGGGAGCCCCCTTAAGGAATGGTATGACACAGTCTTACGAATTCAATCTAGGGTCCGTTGAGCTCTCCGGACTTGACGGAGTCGTGACAAGTGCCTTTCTTTTCAGTTTCGACTGCCGTCTAGGGCTATATAGGGTTGAGGGTTCAGGGTTTAGGGTTGAGGGTTTAGGGTCCAGGGTTGAGGGTCTAATTAGGGCTTAGAGATGAAGGTTTTGGATGGTTCGGGGTTTAGTGCAACGAGGCTGGAAGAACGTGGCTCGACGCATCACCCGGAGGCAGCCATGAAATAACCTAGAAGCCTGAATAGTTGCCATACAAAACTATTCCGTAGGGCTCCGAGCTGTTATCCCGTGGTCCTTAAAATGTGCCCGAAACACTACTTAAATCATGAGGGCGCCTATACTCAACCGTTTTGGTGTCTCTTATAGCAACCCGTATAGAACCCTTTCAAGGAACGAGGAACCCTGTTCTAATTCATTACAAAGGCTCAAAAATTTAAGGAAGAGCCACATCTCACGTCGGAGCCCTTCAGATAAAATGCAAGCGCCGAAAGCAATAAGTTGCCTAAACCCTAAACCCTAAACCCTAAACCCTAAACCTAATAAGGAACCCTTCAAGGAATTCCTGGACTCTAAACCTGGGGATGCGGCTTCCAGTGCAAGGTCGTTCAGGTCATAGGTGTACAGCTTGAAAGGCTCCTCCAGGGCTGTCCGTGTGTAATCAGGATTTTGGGTTTTAGGGTTCAGGGTTTGGGGTTCGGGGTTCAGGATAGGTTCAGGGATTGGGGTTTAGGGTTTAGGACTTCGGGCGTTACATTTTATTATTTTTTTTTGCTGGCCCCTTCTCTTCCCAGCAACTGCCAGCAATAGGTTGGAAAGCCCGCTTGGGCCTCTTGGGTTTAGCGTTCATTTGGGCTTAGGATTTTGGGCTTTATGGTTTTGCGCATTTAGGGTGCTGGATGAAGGGCTTCTCTGCGACGTATGACCGAACTAGGGAGTCTAGGGGATAGTTGAGTCTAGATTTCCTGGTCACCCCTTAACAATGAGCCCTTTCTGTAACAACAAAGAGTTCCTGCTCATGTTTTGATGAAAGGAGGCTCCCACATGCACGTAGCTTAGGGCAATCACTGGGGCTCGGGCAAGCTACACAGCCTTCAGTCCATATTCTAGTTCAGACAAAAGCAGATGCAAAAAAAGGCTTAATATAGGGGCCTTAAAATTAGACTAGGGTTTTGGGGTATATTATACTATAGAGATAATGAGGAACCCCCCAAAATAGTATGGGTAATTATTTAGGCCCCTATACTACGCTTAGTGTAATGACAACACGGACAGACAACATTTCGATCACACAGCATTCCTTGCATGATCCGTCCCTGAACCCCTTCCTACCGCTATCATGGGTTACCACTGCATTACGTTTACATGGTTTACAACATGGGCCAAATAAACCCAAAACCCTGCGCAAAAGCAGGCCGCCGAAATAACCACTATAGGCCCCAACAGTCGGAATGCTATACTCACAAAAAGAGGTTCGGGAGTACCTATAGTCTCCATTGTAGTTCCTTGTAGGGGTTACCTGATAGGATCCTGATCAAAAGGAACTACAATGGAGACTATAGATACGTGTCTAGTCTTCAAGTGGCCACCAGTTGTTCGATCCTTTCTCCTGCTTGGTTCGAAGATGACTTGTAAGGGGTTTAGGGGTTTAGGGCTGAGGGCTTGTAAGCGGTAGGCTACCAAGAATTCGCCGCAAGCCTAGGCAAAACCTCCTGACACCACGAAACGACCGAGCATACCTCGAAATCATTTGCAAATCTCTTCCCGCGGAAATGGGGCTCGGTATGAAGAATTGGGCTGTCAGTACCTTCACGCAGAAGCATTGGTTTTACCAGAGTCTGCCTAAACTCTGCTCTTGTTCGGCAACCGCAACTATCAAATCAAACCTAACCTAAACCCTAAACCCTTCCTGAAATTCTAAGCTTCATCCCAAAACCCTGAACCTCAAGGTGTCCTTGCTTTCGAAAAGCCTCACATGGTCGATCACACGGCATTCCTGGCAGATATAACTTCGTCGGGAGTTCTCTACCAGGGGCCCCTGAATTCGGAACTCAACCATAATACAATTCAGAAGATTTCCCCGCTCCTGGTACTACTTCTGCTACGACTCCTGCTCCTCCTACTCCATTGCCTACGCCTACGCCTGCCCACGCCTACGACTGCTACAGCTACTGCCACAGTTTCTGCTGCTACTCCGACTACCACCATGACGACGACTACAACTACTCCTGCCCCTACACCCCTACTCCTCCTACTGCTGCTGTTTGTTTGGTTGCTTTGGCTAAGAAAGAACCAGTTTTTGCATTTCCGGGTTTTGGGGGTGGAATTCTGGGGCTTGTAGTTGGCGGAAGCCTTCACACCCGAGGATGCAACCCTCCAGTTCCTACACCAAGGAAGCCCGTTGAGAACCGCTACACTCTAAACCCCAGAGGCTCCAAAAACTCATCCCTGAAACAGAGCCCGGAATTCCCGCCTCGGAAACCTCCTCCGACATGAGCTTGATTATGGCATCTGTCATGAGGATCCTCAGACGACTGACGGCTTTTGGCTTAGAGCGGGTACGATGGTGCAGTTTTTGAATGTTTCCATGCAGTCATGTAAACGGAACTTTCGAGATGATAGCAGTACGACTGCACCCTTCCGAAACCTCAACAGACAGAGCTTGAGGAATCATTTCGTATGGTGTGACATCAATGCTTCGGTGTGTTTCCTGATGTTTGCAGATTTCCAGCCACAAATGAACACGAACATTTCTCTGGGTTTCGAAAATCCAGGGCCAAGACACAAGGGTTTCACGCGTGGGCAGTTTCATTCATGAGACCCGGCAGCACCCCAAGCCTTGGGCAACCCTTTCCCTAAACCCTAAACCCTAAACCCTAAACCCTAAACCCTAAACCCTTTCCCTAAACCCTAAACCGTATTTCCTGACAGCAGAGTCCCAGAACGAAAGAAGGGTCTCCCTAAGGACCCCACACTTCCGATATAATCGGCCTTACTTGTCTGGATGTCCGGCTATGTAAGGCGTCCAGGGTTTCGTGTTCATGTTGACATCTTTTAGGGATGTGAAATAACTGCAGGAGCCCTGGCACAGGAGTTGAAAACTCAGGGGCTTGAAGATTGGGGATTTGGAGGTTTAGAGTTTAGAGCTCAAGGACTTTAAGGCTTCGGTTTACTGCAGCCCGGAAGCAGACATCCGTACTGCTTCGTCACCGCCTGCCGTTCGAAGATGGTGAAGCCCTACACCCTGAACCAATGACAAGAATCGCTTTCCAGAACGTAAGATCAAATACCATAATAGGCTAAAGCACCCCATATTGAGCTTTCGATTCACGGCTCATGGTTTGGTCACATGATTAGGCTTATAAGGGCATTACGAGGTTTGCCAGGGTTCCGGGCCGAGCTTCGGATTTCAGGTGGAACTCAAGCGTACCCTGAATGGCCCTGTACCCTATGACACCCGCAACCGCCACCCTAACGACGCAACACGTTTAGGGTTTAAAGTCTAGGGTTTAGGGTCCATATCATATAGTCATGTTGCAGCCCCTGTTAGTAATCCTACACGGAGCAGTACCTCCCAATTGCCTCACAACCCGTACGTCGAGAAACCGCCTTGTCTTGTGGTGTAACCGCGGTTCTAGCTATGGCCACTTTTCCAGAAGGTCAATGGGGCACGTGTATTCAGTGTACTCCGAAAGGCTGCAGGTAGGTTGAGGGATTAGGTATGCGGCTTCAGAGTGCAAAAACAAAAACGTCGAAGAACCCTAAACCCTAAGCCCAAAAACTCCGCTCAAGTCCCGCAACAATCCTGAATCCGGAATGCCTCCCGTGAAAACCTCAATAACGGAGCCTCCAGTCGCGCCGCCATGTTGACGTTCGGACCTTGGTGCTCTTTTGCAGGGGGTTTCGAGTCTAGGTTTGAAGACTGGTTGATGATTGTCCGATTAAGGGGGTCCTATGTTCCTATGGCCTTACAGGGGAGTCTCAAAAAGAGACTCTTATAAGCAGAATCCCTAAACAGAGACGCACCTATGACCGCCAAGACCCAAACCCCAAGCCCTGTAAATGCTGACACTCTTAACGTCTTGTGGTTGGCCATATATGTACTCCTTTCACGGTACCTCTTTGTCACTGGTGGGAGCCACCAGCGCTCTGTCACGACACGCCCACGCCCAGAAACAGTTCGCGTGCATTCTCGAAGCTTGCCCCATTCCGGGACTCTGCGAAACCCACCATATCCCGACTTGCTGCCGTACACCTGCGTGATGAGGTCCCAGCGAGAGGGTATTTCCGAGTTAACTGCCCGCGGGCATCTCTCGTCCACAACAGCAACAACAAGCCTAAACCCCCAAACCCTAAACCCTGACACCCTGAACCCTGACACCCTAAACCCGTAAACCCCTAAACCCTAAAACCTTCTGCGGCGCAGTCGGGAAGAACGAGTGCTCTGAGGCTCGGACTGAGGTAGGAGGCGTCGATCTTGAATTCGGACCCGATCGCTCCCTGTAGGGCTCGCCCCAAACCCTAAACTCTCCAACCTAAATCTATAAGGTTTAGCGGTTTTAGGATTCAGGGTTTAGGGTTCGCTCCAGGGGGTTTAGGGCTTCAGTTGTTCTGTTCGCTGTAGCTTTGTAGTTTTGGAGCTGGGGAGTTCGGGTCCGGGGCTTCTAACGAGCTAGTAGTTTAGGTAGGGTTTAGGGTTCAGGGTTCAGGGTTTAAAGTTTAGGGTTTCATGGATTTCAGTGTTTTTGGGGCTTGCGCGCTTTTAGAGCACAGGCCTTTTACTGTGCTTATAGCGTCGGTGGATGTCGTGTGGTCAGACGGTCACGGGAATCAGAAGGTTCATCAAAAAGAATACTGGTGATGATAAAAACCGACAGTAGCACTTATCTGTAGGTTGATGAAACATCAACGCAATAATAAATCATATTACAGTAGAGCGCAAAAGGACAGTATTTTATGCTATCACATTGATATACCCCCCGTCCAGTAGCTAAACTCTGCCACGATGTTCAAAACCAGCTAGAAGGACGGAAGGGTTTCACCAAATAATGGACCCACATGTTATTTTGAGGACCGCTAAACGAAGTACTCCCAAAGAATGTATATGACATTGATACAGATACTGCATATTCTATATTGTATGACTATGTAACTACATATATACATCTACCATCATATGTGTGGCAAAATCTATAACGTAATCCATAACATTTACAGTGTATAAGCATATATCTATACTATAACTATCAAGTAAGGAATTCTAACCTTTACCCCCCGCTCTAAGAAACTCCTACTGTTCTATATAGCCAGGCAAAGAGAGCATTTCAGTACCAGCCCTCCCTCATCCAGACCAGCCTTGTAGACCTTCAACCCTCGGTTTAGGGTTTAGGGAAACACAAAACCCCAAACTCTAAGCCCTAAGCCAGTCCGTGACTCCGAACCTCTGTAGCCCAAAACCCTGATCCCGAAACCCTCAAAGCTCAAAGTAGTAGTCCCAAAAGTAGTAGTAGTAGTAGTAGT